TATATATATATATATATATATATATATATATATATATATATATATATATTAGTTGTTGATGGGCTTTTATTCGTTTACTTACATGTGGTACTGAGAATTGAACCCAGTTCCCCACACATGCAAGGCAAGTGCTCTACCACTGAGCCACAACCCCAGCCCCAATGATGCTTTTAATATAAAAAATATAGTAGCATACTTTCTGCATATGTCAAGTCTAACCTAATCATAACTTGCCCATCTGCCTGATTTTAAAGTAATCCTAGGAATGCTAGATGACAATATGTTTGCTTAATTCACCCCACACTTATTTGTGTAAAATAAAATTATTTTAACATTACAATGAGATGCAAATCTTTCTGGTTTTGATACACACCCTGTAACTCCCTCTTGAAAAAGTGCCAACTTCTCCCAGATTACTGGTAAAGTAATTTCTAAAGTACCATCCAACTTTTCTAGGACAACAATACTCACCTTCCTCTGAGAGAACAAACCTTTTCTGAAAACAAATGGCCAAACTGAATTCATTGCTTTAACATTTTCTAGAAAGTAGAGTTTTTCCTTTGTTTTTGTCATATCCTACCTCTCAAAATTAAATTTTCAGCATAAAACACTTCTGAGAACTCCTACTTATTTCCACAAATAATCTTAGTTTCTATTCTTTTATTCATTTTTAAACAAACTCAAGAACAAAGTGCTAGAGAAGAATTGTATTCATTTAATGTAGTTTTTTCTAATTCTAATTTGTTAATTCCCCAATAGCAGGACTTTTTAAAAAAATACAAAAACTACACAAAACTGCTTCTCATTCTCATTCCAACATTCACATTCCAACAAAATGGGAAACATTATCAGCCATCTTAACAAGAACACAAGCTAAGTGAGGTCAAACCAAAAAAAGATTTTATCCATTGCATCTCTTTTGAGATTGGGATTTTTCAGATAAGTACTATAATACTGAATATGAACAAATATGTTTAAAAATTTAACATCATATTTTGGACTAATTACTTTATCCCCAAATAGTCACAAGAGTAAATAATCACATACAATACCTCCAAGACAATGCAGAGTATAATAATCTTAATTGTTTTATATATCCTGAGGCAAAGAGACAAAGGCCAAATTCAAAGCAGTTTCCAGTATCTTATATATCTAAGATCAAACAAATCAAAAATCTACTTTAAGTAAGCAAAATTGGGGTTAAGAACAAGAGACCCTCCTTTAAAATAGGGAGACCTGTTCAAATTTAAGCCCCCACGCCAAAAAAAAAAAAAAAAAAAAAGACAAGGTCTCACTCACCAATCCCTGTCTTAAAACCAAAAGGCACAATTTAAACCACTCAAGTTGTTTCCTCGGATTTTAGTAGCAATAAAGCTAATCCTCAGACCACTTCCAAGTAAGTGGCTTCTATCAAAACTTATCACAAGTTAGGTGAAACAGGCAAGAGCGCTGGTTCTGCATTTTAACAACTGAGCAACAACAAACAGTACCACACTTTTGGACAAGCTACTACTTTCAGCACCACCCCCACCCCCACCCCCACCTCCCATTTCTTTTTATATCATTTCTCCCAATTTAGAACCCGAAAAAGCGATCCTATAAAACAAAAGTAGCGTCAGAAAATGGTAGTCCACTGATTTTGATAACAAAAGTTTGTTCTTTTGCTGTCAACCTGGCAACTTTTTAAAGGTGAAACGTCGTCTACTCAATCAGGTATAATCTTTCCTACTTCCATGCTAAACAACCAATTGTTTGTTCTCAACACTACAGGTGAAAAAAAAAAAGGGGGGGGGGGACGGGAGAAAAAGATGCTGAAAAGAAGGGTCTACGTTCCAATGGTAGGGACCGATTTCGAGACCAGTTTTGAACATTCCGTGGCTGCTGGCAGCTGGGCGGCTTTACAGTGTCTGAGAATGTTTAGCAATCTGACGCATCAGTTTTTAGGAATGGTACACAAACAGCCCCCACAACTCAAGAGCCATGCCCAGAATCCGTCCTCTCGGTGACATGGGCTGGAGGGCACGGGACGGGAGACAGGGGCGACCAGGAGGGCATCCGCGACATTTGTTATTGTTTGTGAAACCCAGGCAGCGACCTGAAGTGGGGTGCTTGGGGGCCGAGGAGTGAAAGAAGAAAGGAACAGGGAAGGACAAAAATTCCTCCCCGGGCTCGAGGCCACCTCTTCGGACACAGGGGCCGGTATCACCCCGGGGAACAAGAGGGCCAAGGCCGTCGCCAGAGCTTCCCGGGAGACATTTCCAGCCCCGAAATAAGCTCAGCTTTCCCTGGACACCCAAAGACACAGAAGATCTCCTCCAGCTCTCTCTCGCAGAGTTGGGGCGGGTGCGGCAGCCCGGCCCCCAGAGCGCTGCATCCGCGCACTCACCTGCCTCCAGTCGCGCCCGCGGCCGGCTCAGCCTCCGCACGGACCGCAGCCGGCCGGGCGCCCCTCCGCTCCAGCTGCCCGCTCCGCCCTCGCCCCGCCCCCGAGAGGCGGGACCTGCGGCCGTGCCGGAATCTCGGGGCGGCCGCCCTGAACTCTCGCGAGCCCTCCCTCCTCGGCTTCTCGGTGGCTGGGCTGGTCCAGCTCGCCCTGACGTCATACGCACCCCAGCCGGAAGCAGCCTTCTGTCGTCAAAGCGGGTCCCCGGCCCCGCCCACCTCCTCCTATTGGAACTTAGACTGGGAGGTTAGCACTACCTTTTCTTATCAGCCTCATCTCACTCAAAACTCGCTTGAGAGTGGCTCATTTTGTTGTAACATTACTTACATGTCCTAAATGTCGTCAGAGTTTTTCCTCAGTACTTTACAATTCTCTATTAGAAATAGAGAAGGGTTTAGAAATCACAAATCCACACCATTTGCAGATTAGGAAATTGTACTCAACAAAGATGGATTGGCTGACCAACTGCCCAGTGGGTGGCTGTGGGGACTAGAAGCCACCCAAGTTCCATAACTCTTCCATTTCATCATGACTGAACTCTAGAGTCTTGAGAGAAATTAGGATTTGGAAAGGGCGCAAAAAGAGCTGGGGATATGGCTCAAGTAGTAGCGCGCTCGCCTCGCATGCGTGAGGCACTGGGTTCCATCCTCAGCGCCACATAAAAATAAAATAAAGATATTGTGTCCACCTAAATCTTAAAAAATAAATATAAGAAAGAATAGGCCCCAAGTAAATGGGAGCATGCGTAGAAAACTTGCTTGAGTTATCTCAGAAAATCTGAACTATACTAAATGATAGTCTTTAGTGTTGAGCTACATCATTTGAACCTGAGAATTACACTGGGCGTAGTGGCACAGTGCCTCAGGAGGCTGAGGCAGGAGGATGCGAGTTCTAAACCCCAGCCTCAGCAACTCAGTGAGACCCTGTCTCTAAATAAAAAGTACAAAATCGGGCTGAGGATATGGCTCAGTGGTCTAGTGCCTCTGAGTTAATCCCCAGTACCAAAAAAATAATAATAAATAAATAAATAAAAAATAAGAAGAAGAAGAAAGAAAGAAATTAACAACTTACCATAGATCTTAGCAACCTCATTTTATGATTTTTTTTTTCATTCACTCCTAAGTTAAAATTTTTCAACTTTTTCCTTAAGAGAAGTAGTGCTAGCTTTTTTGAAATCTCAAATTGCCAAAGTTGCTACTCTTGCATTTTGGGGGCTATTAAGTAAAATAAGGGTTACTTGAAGACAAGTATTTGATGACAAGTGATACCTTAACAGTTAATTTGATAACTGAGCGAGCTACTCATTAATGGGCAGGCAGCATATACCATGCAGAAACCCTGGACAAAGGAAGGATTCATTTCTGGAATGAGATAGAGTGGAATGGTGCAAGATTTTATGACGTCACTTAGAATGGGATGCAGTTTTAAATTCATGAATGGTTTATTTCTGGAATTTTCCAGTTAATATTTTTGGACCATGATGCTGGCAACTGAAACATGGGAAAAGAAAACTGTGGATAAAGGGGTATGGGTCTATTATATTTAGAAAACAACTTTCTTGTAGGATGACTCATGGAAATGACTTGGGGAAAATGATGCAGTTTGCATTTGGGGACAAAACTGGCCTTTGGGCAAGCCATATAAGAGAATCACTTCCAATGATTGTTGACAAACGTATCCCTAAGAATATTGAAAGTTTTATATTAAAAAGTTTTATATTGAAAGTTTTATAAAATACCCTTAGTTTTTAGACTAGTAAGACAATATATTAAGCTAGCATAGTGCTTGTAGAAAATATGATTTTAAAATGCCAATCATTATCTTTAGGTTTACCAAGAGTTGATTACACATACCTAAGTATTAGGAAAAAATCATGACATCATTTCTTTCTCTTTTCTTATACTCTATGCTTTTTCATACATAGCTTGGGAAAAGCTCCAGTCTGGTAATAAGAGTAGTCTTCAGGGTATCAATTCCACTTACATGGTCATTTTGAGACTCAAATGACAATTGTCATATGCAAGTGTAGGTGGTTTAACTGATAAAAAAGACTTGACAGAGACCTATATGCTTCTTTCCCCGTACTGCATACATACACGTTCAATTCAAGTAGGGAAGATGGAGAAGTTTATAGTTTGTTTTATAGCAAATTTGGGTGTGCCGTGCTTTTTTCACAACACTGGGATAATATAAACTATTCTATATTATCAGACTAGATTAAAGAAAAAGCTTTGACCACTAGTTTATTAATTGAGACTATTCTGAACAAATTAGCTCAGGAGGTTGTTGAAGTTACCTGAACTGAAACACATTAAGAGATATGTATCCTTTGGCAAGTTTCGTGAAGCCTATGGATCCCTTTACAAAATATATTCTGAAACGAGTAAAATAAACTGCATAAGCCTACGAGACAAATTGATTATATTAATATTAAATTAGCAAAATACTAAAAAGTGAATTTGTGATATAGTTATATAGCAGGTAGTTCTTAAGATGGCTCCCAATGATCCTTACCTTCTGATATTCTTGTGCAATTCCTTCTTTTGAGTGTGGGCTGGACCTGTAACTTGGAGAAGAGAATACAGTAAATGTGACGGGATTTCATTTTCATAATTAGGTTACCAAAGACTCTGGCTTTCATCTCGCTCACCCTCTTGGTCTCACCTGCTCACTCTGATGGAAGTCAGCTGCTCTGTTGGGACCTGCCGTATGGAGAGGCCCACATGTCAAGGAACTGTGAGAGATCTCAAGTAAAAAAATTACCAAGAAGTTAAAGCTGTCCAATAACCCATAAGGAACTGAAGTCTGCCAATAACCATCTGAATGAACTTGAAAGCAGATTCTTTCCCAGGTGAGCCTTGTGATGACTATAACCCTGCCTAACCCCTGCACTGAGAAACCAGATGATGAGCTAGCAGAGCCAGCTAAGCCAAGCCCAGATTCCTGGCCCACAGATCCTCTGAGATAATAAACATTTGCTGTTGTTGTTATTGTTGTTGTACCAGAGATTGAACACAGAGATGCTTAACCACTGAGCTACATCTGAGCCCTTTTTATTTTTTATTTTGAGAAAGGGTCTCACTAAGTTGCTTAGGGCCTTGTTATGTTGCTAAGGCTGGCTTTGAATTTAGAATCCTCCTGCCTCAGCCTCCCAAGCTTCTGGTATTACACAGGTGCCCTACCCTGCCCAGCTAAACGTTTGTTGTTTAAGGCAAAAACTTTTGAGGCAATTTGATGCACAGTCATAGATAACTAAAAGAGTTGTATATTTGCTTCTTTATTAATGCATTAAATAACAAGATCAAGACCCACAGCAGTTTTGCAGTAGTGATATACAAAAAGAATATTTTGAGATATCTGTAGCCATCTTTAATGTGGTAGAAAAAAATAAAGTCACAGGTATTGCTAATATTTCTGTGGTTTCCTGCCTACATTCATAATGGAAGAAATATTAATTTTTGGTAAGGATTGAGTGAAAAAATATAAATATACACAAAATACATGTTAAATAGATGAATTGCATACATACTTTTTATATTTATTTTTTTTCATCAGTAGGCCAAAATTCTTGACTACATAATAAATCATTCGTAGGAACATTTAAAATTATTTTCACCAACTTTCTCAGATATTAGAATTAAAGTTCAGATAATTATTTACAGGTATCAGGAATGTATCATGACCATTGCTAATCTTGTTACCCTGTGGTTTAATATGAATTCTTATTCTTTTCCTCCATTTATTCCCTTTTCTCCAAGTCTATGCTAAATATATATAGACAAGCTAAAATTGTAGGCCGGAAAGAGAAAAATCATGGTGAAAGCCTTTCTGGTACTCAATTCATCTGATTTTTTTTAAGCACATGAAATATTTAGCTCCTTTGCCATAGGGACTCATGAGTATTTGGCCCTCCTAGGCCTACCACATAGTAAATAGCCAATGAATGGCAAATAGCAGTAGTAAGTAACAGAAGGAAAAGTGTTAATAAAACACTTCCACCAAGTACATGAAGCTGCTATTCTATGTACAATTTTGTAACTCTGGAATATGGACAAAGCAAGAGTTAGAGGATAATGTATCACTTTAAATGCAATTAACATGAAAAAATGAAAAATAAATGAACCAAGCTTTCAATTCAGGAAATCGGAAAGAAAAAACAAAATTAATCCAAAGAAAGTAGAAGGATATAAAACTTAGAAAAGAAGTCCTTCCCAGGGTTCATTGTCCTTATGTTTACCAGGTAATGTAAAGCTAATAATCATTCTCATATAAACTACTTATTTTTAAATGGATATAAATTATGTTACGATTAACTATTTCAAACACAATTTCAAAAGATTAAGGCAGAAATTAATTGCAGTTTAAAAAAAAAAACTGACTAATAGCACCAAAAGATTATTCTTTGAAAAGTCAAGGAAACAGGAAAATCCTTGTAGGACTAATCCTGGGGGAAAAGGAAAAGACACAAATTGTAGGAATAATAATAAAGATGTAACTAAACTACAGATATGGAGATTTTAAAAAGCACAAAAGATTATGGTGTATAGCGTTACACAAATAGATTTGAAAAGGAGGAGATAGACAGAAAATGTGCTTTTCAGTCCTCCTGGAATGCTGTCCTAATGGAAATCCATTAAATTTTTTTACTGAGGATAAAATGGCAATTTGATGGGATAAAAGAAAAAAAATGAATATGCCTTTCAGGTTTGACACTAAGAGTACCTGACTCCTGCTTCCTGTTCTCATCACTGAGTTTCAAAGGCACTCTAGTCCATACCAGACAGCTAAGTGCTGTTGAGTTTGTTTAAAAATAAAGGTCCTAGTCAATAAGCTGCAGGGGCTTTCACTGGATTATTTAATAATACACATGATAATCCATTAAGACTATAATAATACACATGATAATCCATTAAGACCAGACTATATTCTGCAAATCACTTTATAAATCAGGAAACCACAAATTTTCATTGATACCTGCTCTAATTTTTAGCTGAGTTTGAGAGTTAGCT